GAAAGGATCTGGAAGTTCCTATTAATAAATCTTATTTATTAGATAAATTAGATATGCTAAAGGTCTGTTGTAGTCATTATTTTTCCTCTTTTGGTCCAAACAGAATAACAAATAGATCAATCAGCACATTATTAAATATAAAGTTGTATTTTGTTTTGGTTTTTTTTTCATATTTTAAAACATATATCCAGCTATTTTGAGAACAAGCCAGTTCTTTACAATTGCGAAACTTAGGAAACTTGGTTCAGTGCCCAAAGCATATCTTTCAAGAAATAAATTCTATAGATCAAAATATAGCCTTTTGTAGGTGAAAAGATGCTTTATGCCAAGAGTTCCAGTGTCACTGTAATTTTTTTCTTCACATGGAAGGATGTACTACTTGGCACATAACATTCCTAGCAATATTTTACACATGGAAGTCCTTTTGTTGAAATATTTCTTCCATGTTGGACTATCACATGTTGCTCTGATGGCCAAATTAACTTTTCTCTACATTCTGAAATTGCCTTGCCTGTTTAGAAATTTCCCATTTCAAAGGTACATCAGAATAACCAAGCAGATTTCCAAATGGGAACAAATAAATTAATTCCAGATGTCAAAAACTGTTAGTGTTCCACAAGGGACAACATTCTTTCAAAGTCAATAAAATGCTAGCAGTTACATTTGAGAGAAGACCCTTTTTCAATAGCAGTAAATTTAATAGAGATTAATGAAGTAAACAGGAAAGCCTTGTGCTATATAATGACAACAGACTTTACATGGGTAAGCAAACTGAGAAAGAGTTTCCAATAGTTCTTCATTGTTAATCAGAAAAAAAGGATAACAATAAAGAGAAGTAGCAACTGGATTGCTCTTCTGCAATATTTCGGAAAATAAAACTGATCTTACCATCATTTATTCATCAAAGGCAAGCAAATGACTGAAATGATCCTTTTAGAAGAATTCAAATTTTTATTAATGTGGTTATTCTTCAAATAATAGTTAATCTCTAACTTAAATACAAGCATGCTTCATCAAACAACCTCGGTTTTTAATTAACACAAAAAAGAAGGATTTAAGATTGTCTTATCAAGATATTTGCCTTATAAATGGCACTGAATATTAATTGAATTTTTCCAAGAGACAAAGGCAGACAGATAAACCAGGATGGATTAACCAGGTCTGACTGTGCATATCAAAAAGCACAGTGTACAACAATGACTGGAACATGACCAAACCACTGTCATAGCAAAGCTCACTGTCTTTCTTGAAAGTACATTTTTACTCCTGAAGGAATGTGCACATGATATACAACAGAAGTAGACACATACTACCTGCTCGACCATACAGCACAATAAGAAATCAAAAAAGGAAAGAAGTAGTGCATTAACTACCAGTAGCTATAAGAAGCTTCCAAGGATAGTAAAGTATTGTTAAGATTAACATCCATCCAACTTGCGAGCAAGTCACTTTTAAGGTCTCATATTCTACTGTTTTTCCTGGAACTCCATCCAAAGGAAAGATAGGAACAACCACTCTCTGTGTCCTAATCTCTTCCAGCTAGTCAGTTTCCACCCTACAAAACAGGCTGCTAGCTACAATATTGAGTCACACAGGAGATCTAGCTGTTGTAAATACCATAACAACTTAGTCAGGCCTTTTCCCCTTTATATTATTTTGCTAGTTGAACATTAAAAAAATCATTTCATCTTAATAATAGCTGGTTTTGATCTTATGTGGAACTTATACGTCTTTCCAGAAGTTTGGATTTGGAAAGAATTAGTATACACAACTTCTCCAGTTCATCCATTCTCATTCTAGGATAATAGCTTGTGGTCTGTTGCCTTCTTTACTGAAAGTTCAATTTAGGTATGTGCAATAGGTCAAAATATTGGGTTCAAAAAACCTTGCCAGAAGAGGACTGTGACTGAGCAACTTTATGGGTTTATCTTAACCATTGGTTGGCCAATATACTTTCAATTTCTGTACTTTAAGGAACTGGCCGAACTCTGAACGCTCAGGTCAGATCCCCGTCTCCTTACTTCCTTGAGCATTGTGGAGTGGAGTGGAGTGAAAAGGGATATTGAATTCTGCAATAAGGAATGAGATCATCCTTTCTGTGTTAATAATAGAAATAGTGAAATCATTTCTGACAAAAGATTTAATTTAGATTCAATGGATTTTGAACTCCACAGAGGTGGCCAAGTGGCTAATCTTCAAGGAGGCTAATCATGTAGATCCATTTCAGCTTGGCTATGTGAGCTTGCCTTGATGGCTTTCATAAATTCCCTAGTGACTTTCAGTGCCACAGCAACCATGGTAATCCATCTGTACAGCCTCCAGGTTCTAAAGCATTAATAATCCTAGTTGTTTAGCTGGAGGGGAGAAGATGGTGCTTCTGAAATTTATCCCATGGTTGCTGGGCATGGAAAATTCATTTTGCCTCCCGTGTTATTAATGTATGTGAAATCACTAGGGCAGTGATGGCGAACCTTTTAGAGACCGAGTGCCCAAACTGCAACCCAAAACCCATTTATGCATCGTTGGGTGCTAGGTGGGTGTGGCCCATTGGGTAGGTGTTGCCCATAGGGTGGGCATGGCTGCGGTGGTAATAGCAAACTAGGTGGGACTAAAAAGTTCAATCAATCAATTCCAACTTTGCAAGATCTTTTTTTTTCCCGCGAGAAGTTGAAATTGACTGATTGATTGAACTTTTTTTTTTGTACACGGCGGCAGAGGCCTAAAGCAAAAAGGTTTTATAAAACCTAGCTGAAGGCCTAGGACTGAGGCGATGGCGTGCGTGCCCACAGAGAAGGCTCTGAGTGCTGCCTCTGGCACCTGTGCCATAGGTTCATCATCACTGCACTAGGGGGTCTCATTGGGAGATTTATGTTAACATATCACCAACTTGCAGACACAAGCAAATTTCTATTTCTTCCAATCTCTAGTCTCCTTAAAATATAAATATTCTGAAAGCTGATGCTCCTATTATTTTCAGATTTGATTAATTTGTTTTATGTATCCACTAAGTTTGAGATATGCTAGACTGATATTTTACTGTCTATCCCTATCTCTTTGCTTGTGTTGCTTTAATAGTTTTTCTGCCACTCTTGTCTTGTTTTTTTATTCATACTTTCTCATTTTCATTATTTATTTTATAGTAGACAGTGAGGGTTGTACTCTGAAAGCAATGTAAAAATCAGTTTAAAAAATAATCTATGTTTTCAACCCTTTAACTGCCTGCAAAAAAAGAAAAACTATGGCTGAATGATGATCAGCTCCAGAGTTTTCCATCTTTGCATATATTTCATGGAGTGAGGACAGGAAACAGGTTTTCACAAAGATAGTCCCTATCCAGAAACACAATTGGTTCAATTGACTGGTCCAAAAGTACAGTAGTGGATTATTTCAATTTCAATCAATTTTTCATCATCAGTTACAGACTGATATTTACAATTGGTCCCAATCCTTCTTATCTTTAACAAATCTGTTAAAGCTACTTTGTTTGAACATGGTTTTGGCCTTTAGTTATTCTTAGGTGTCTTTTCTTATTTATACATTTTTATATTAAATATTTAATCTTATTGTTGCCTGCTCAAAATCTGACAGGATTGGGGTGGGATATATACACTGGAAATAAATAACAATTACCATACCCCAGAGGGCTCACTGGGTTTCCAGACGTGACCATAGAAAGTTTAGGAGTTAGGGCAAGAATGTGTTTTGATTGATCACGGCACTATAAGGAAACCATATCATTTTTTATTTTGATACTACACACAAATGAGATTTTATTGTGGGAATTTTTTGTAACCTCCTTTTGGTATGGCTATAGCTCTAAATTTGGATAGAAATATTCAAAATTGATGAGTTTGTTAAATCTCTGGTTTAGAAATTAAATCTCTGGATTAGGACAAATAGGACAGAAGTACCAAAACTGGCACATAATGAGTGGAGGGATGGGAGAAGGAAGAGATATTAAGCCTAATATTTTTTATAAAGTATAAATCAAATTTAAACCCAAATTTCCTATATATGGAGAAAATATAAACTATATATTATGTTCTCAGTATTTTGTAATACATTGTTGTACTAGGTATTTTGTATTTATTTTGGTAGCGAACACAAATTCAGTGATGAGAAAAATCTCATTTTTCAGGGTGGTAAGATCAGCAGACAACTACATTGAAAATATGCTTTAAAAAGAGGGCAAAAATTCTTAATTAACAAATCAGGATGTTCTTTTTCTCCCCCATATGCCTGAATATTACATCCTTATAAAATCTTGACCAGGTTCACTCAGATCTTGAAAACTGGCACTTTCAACTATACAAATAGCCAAAGTCATATTAACATTTGGATGTTATTCTGGAACAAAAGCCCACTTAGCAGTTTGAGACAATGTGAATACAATATTATGAACGTTTAACCTGAACCTTCAGATATGAGATACAAAATGCAATTTCCATATCTTACTGAATTCAATAGAAAACTAGAGATCAGGTTTACACTTCTAGATTGTTTAGGGTGATTTACAAAAATTGCCAAGAAAAAGTGATTTGTAATAATTATTAATTATGTTGTGATGAAAGGCCCAGATGATTTTGACAAATTATACAGTATTCCAAGTGGAGAAATCTCCTAGAAAGATGAGCTAGTAGAGAAAAGGCTAGTCTGAACTCCATGAGTAACACTTTATTCAAGTATCAAACTGTGAGAAAAGTCATCCATGTAATTTTGATTTTAGAAGATTATAAGGCAAGATAACCCACAACTTCAGGCTAAAATTCATGAGACACCAAATAAATAATCAAAAATGAAAAATTTCATTCCTGGATTGCTTACTTACATTCTAAACTTGCATACTACAGCAATCTGCCTCAAGGCTCAAGACTTGAGAAACAAGGCTGAATGTGCGAGCTGAAGAATCTATCTAGATACTGAAAATAAACTATAGCTATTTATTTCTACAGATTATCTATACTGTATCCTAGATCACAAATAGAGAATATAGTACTTACTCCGTGGTTCCCTTGGTCCATCTACTGTCACTTTTATAGCTCTGTGATATGTAGCAACTTGTGGAGGATTTGTAAGGACAGTTATTGTCAGAGTAAAACTTTTTCCTGTTTAAAAAAAAGGAGAAAAAATAGAAATCACTATAGAAATGTTTGCATGAAATCTAAAAAATATAAAACATTCATAAAATGTTAAATTGGAATGGAACAAAATATGTATCTGCTTCTCCCACTTATTGTGAAATTCAGCAAAGTACCACAAATTTAAAAATCTGAATTTTTATATCAGATCATAAGGTAGTGGCAATAATTAGAAGCAATATCTCCTTCAAGAAATAGACATTTCTGCTTGAAGAGCAAACTACTTGTAAGTAATAATTTTTAGTGCTGCAATGTATAGCTAGCATCAAAGGTGAGTTAGCCACAGAAACTAAATGGAAGAAGTCAGCTAAGGTGTGAACAGTCTTTTCACAGACCCTGTCCACTGTGGCAGGTAAAAAAGAGTAGGATGGAACACGGTTCTACCTGTAGAAGTAGGAACTGCTGAATAAGTCAGCTAAGAGTAAAATTCTCACAATAGGCTGAGCACATGTATTTCTACAGCATTGTGGCTCACATCACAGGGCCTCAAAGAAAGATAAGCAAGGAACACAGAAGGAAATGCATTAGATAGCTAGATTGGTCTTTGTGTAGAAGAACACAATATGTATGTTTCCTTGACCTTTAGAGAAAAGCTGGGATAGTATTGCCACATACAAATCATAAATAAATACACATACAAAATAACTACAACTGCTAAGGGCCCTGTAATTAATCCTTATAACTAAAGTTATGGAAGAGCAAAATCCACAGCAAACCAGTGTCTTTCTAAGGCCACTAAAATAATGAATAACTGTTCAGTTCTCCAGAGCTCTGCGCCAAGAAAAGAAGGCTGGATATGGAAAGCTTCCTTGATGTTAGAAGAACTACTTCAGCCACAGTCTTAACTTTAGAAGTAACTATGGAATTAACTGAATTCAGTTCAATTTTGTTTCAGTCAGAAAAAAGTTAAAGAGAATATTAATATCTTAAAAATGTAAAAGGACTAAAAAGGACAGGTTCTAAAGAGAAACATCCTGTAATAAATTATGATACCTAATTAGTATTTATTATTTTCAACTCCAAAATTCAATCCAAAATAATACCTATTTGGATATGTTGCGTACAAAAAAAAAATCTAACAGTCCAGTTTCATTTAGGAAACATTAGGAAAGATTACTGTAAGATGTACAGAACTATATATTGTACATTAGGGACAAATTTCACCTGCAAATAATTTTTTTTAACTATATATCGATGGACTAAGTGAATACATGAGGCCAATTACATTCACTTATCTGCACGCTCTTAGAGGAACAAAGTCATATAGCAGATACTCAAAGTGAAGAAGAGTGATAATGAGGAAAGAAGTAAGACCCTGGGTTGCTACTGCCTGAAAGAAATTGGCTTGCAAAAAAGCCACAAGATCAAACTGTTTCCTGAAGAGAAGGTCCGATTCAAACACCAAAGGCATTCTTACATCTTTAGGATTCAAAGAAAATATGGAGATGTGACTGTGTGGGTACACAGGATGCTATGCTGCAGCACAGCAGCTTTCCGTTGCATCAGGGGCTCAGCTTTGAGAACAGCAAGCAATGCCTGGATTTGGATCTCATGAACATAGCTAAAGAGTTCTCTTCCTACCAACAGAATGTGAATTGCAGTGGCCATGAACATCTGCAGCATGCCTGTGGCAATAGGGATCAAGTCATATTATTATTAGTTAGGACATGACATATGGATTGGACTGATATAATTTGCCCTCCGCAGAAAGCCAAATTCTACTCCAGCACTTACTGCAAGGGAGATTTGCTCAATTGAGGAGAATTTCACTTTCTCCCGCTGTTTAACTGAAAGGAATGTGCTGTTTTTATATTTGACTTCACATGGTTTTATCATTTAACTTGACTTTATCATAATACAGAGAACTAATATATATTACTTCTGGGAGCCATAATAGAGTGCCAGGGCTTCCTATGTTCAATATGCCTATGGTAATAGGAAGCTAATGATATAATCCACAAAGAAAATGAGAGATAGTCCCCCTTTCCCTGGATGATATTCCAGCTATTAAACCTTAAACAAACTATCTGCCCAGGGTGAGAATGTGCTTTAAATGCATAAAATGTTATGTTCCTCTGAAAATCTCAATTACCATAATAGAAATTCTACAGATGGATGTGGTGCCCTGCAACTCTGCAAGTGTTAGGAAACGAAAACGGCTACAAAGAACAGACAGAATCTTCACCCAGGGAAGGCTGTGGCCTTTGTTCTGCAAGTCACTGACAGTTCTAATCAGTGAGATATGCAAGTGTTAATCATTTCAGATAGTCAAAACTGCAAACTGTTTCAAGACAGGAAGAGGTGGGCGTGCAACAGTGACTCAATGCAACAGTCAGCTATCTCATGGCTTATGGCTCACTTTGCCTCCTGCTTTACCAGAATCTTTAAAAGATCTTAAAAAAAAACCCAGCCATCTAGGGACTTTGGGTTTCTACCTACTCCATCCCACTTCATGGAACTCCAAGGGTATTAATGAAAGCACAAAATGTTAAGAAAATGTAGCAGCACTAAATGTAATTTTTTCAAAGTCTAATACAAAACAGGAAGTGTGACTGAGTGGGTATGTGTGGGTGTGCAGAGGCACACACATGTGTAATACAGAACAGGTCTGTTGCTGTCTCATTCAGTTCTCAATCCTTCCTGTCACATCATTTATTATCACTCATGTGGTTTCAGAACATTTGGAGAAACGTTACTCGAAAAAGAGAGGATGTAATAGTAAACTTCCAATGTAACAGTCACACACAAAGAGAAGGCCTGCTTGTTCTCAGTGCAAGCTGACATGCTTGGGCAATCCATCTGACTACCCCAGCACACTTTATGCCATAAAATCTATTAAGAGGCAGGGAGGGTTATTGTGATCTTTAAAAATACATAATATGACAGCAGACAGAAATAGATGCTCTGTGAAAGAAGTCAGCTGTCACTATCCTTGTTTTAAAAAGGCAGAAAACTGTTATTTAACTGATTTTCCTTTGACATAGCAAATTCTATTCCAGATCACTGACATTAATTTGAATGTTTTCCTTTTTTTAGACTGTATTAATTTTAGTGTGCCTTATTCTTTATAATAGTACCTTTGGCCATCACTTAAAATATTTTCGCAGTACAGAATGTAACTAATCAATTCTAGAAATAAATAACTCCATAGAATAAGGCACTAAAATAATGCGGATGCTTCTTGAGAATATATCTGAACAGGTCAATATAAAGCAGTGGTTCTCAACCTGTGGGTCAGGACCCTATTTGGGGTCAAACGACCATTTCATGGGGGTCGCCAAACAACGCAGTCCGCCATTTTTTCCCCTTTTCCTTAGCTGTGCTACTCCCTTTTATTCTATTGGCTTTCGAAAGCCAATAGAATAGACTCTCTTGAATAGAGTCTAATTCTATTGGCTTTCAAAAGCCAATAGGAATTGTCCAGGCTGTCTCTGCCCTGCTGAGCCCACCAAAAGTCCCATTCTGCAAACGGTGCTGCACCAGTTGAGTAGTCCTCGACTTACGACCGGTTGAGTAGTCCTCGACTTACGACCGGTTGAGAGTCGCGGCATTAAAAAGGTTGAGAACCACTGATATAAAGTCAAAGAAGCCTGTGTTCAGATTTCAGGTTCTGCAAGGATCTACAAGAAAACCTGTTTAATTAAGCTAGCTAGGAGGAAGATACTTGGTGTGCTTTTATTATATTCTACCACATCAAAATAAAGTACTTAAAGAAAACTAGAAGCACAATTCTACAGCCCTTGGGACAGGGTCAAGCACAGATCTCTAACCAGGGGTAATCTGACTATAGAAACCTTTTTCATACCAGCTACTAGGAGCCGTACTTGCTGAAGCTGGAAAAATCTTAAGTCAACCAAGTCTTGCAATGGGTGCAGTTCCCTAAGTCCCTCCACCCATCATTCCACAGGGATTTTAGACCAATCATCTAATCTGCCTGCCCTGTTTTCCCTCCCATGCCTTGCATATGGGAAGAAAAATTAAAAACCAAAACGAAAGCAAAAAGAGGGGCCAACCTTTCTCCAGCTTTGCAGAATGAGTTTCTCGTAACTTAAGATTCTTAGGGATATATAAAACTTACAAAATAAAAAGCATGAACCAGTCAGAGAGAAGCACAGCACCATTTTGTGAGCATTAATCCTTAAATCACTAGAATTTTAAAAATTGTGGATCATGAAAATATTCTTTTACCACCAGACTTTTCCATTTTCCTCTGAATCATTAAACATTATTTCTGAAAGCAAATGATTCCTTTTAGGGAGTTAATATGAACCTCGCTAGTTAGGATGTAGTGCTGCTTTAGAAAATATCCATATTATTCACTCTTTGTCACTGACATATTTAACTGACATTAGATAAGATAGAAACTGCCTTAGCACATATATCACTTTCCATACAGAGCAATGACTAAGGTGTGAGTACTCTGATCTTAAACTTTTGGATGCATGTATCCCACAACTTCAAAATAACAAATGTCACTGCAACAATGTCTCCTTTGCTGCACTAATATATATTCTAATTTTAATGAGCCTATGGATATCTTTCCTGATGCCTGTCGATTATTAATTGGAAAGGTCACTTACTGCAAAGCAAAACAGCAGCCTTGAGTGCCATCTTTATTTTCATTCTTTGGTAGGGTCTTAATGGAAAATAAATATGGAGAATGGCTGTAATGTTTAAGAATCAAAATACTGTCACTCAGAACATTTTGAATAGTGCTCCGTTTCACAACAAACAAAGCATGTAGAAAGATGTAGAGAACATTCTGCTCAGAGGCAGTTAGAAGGGATGTTGAAAACTTTAGTATTTTTGTATGTGTCCCTCTGTGTGTACACATCAATATTTACTTCTAATTTTTTGAATTGTTGTGTGAATGAATGTTTTATCTGTGTTCTATGTTTTTAAAAATCTACCCAAATTCTGTTTCTACATGATTCTTGAGAAAATCACTTTTCTTTTGGCCATAACGGTTACTTGCTTGGAAATGGATGTTTGTGGTTGGCCATACCATGGCTCATGGCCTGGAGGAGTCTTCTATTGCAGCTACTGAATTAGGACAGTCAAGACATGTTCTTAGAATTCCTGATGTGCCCACTGGCCAAAACATTACCCTAGTGTGCGAAAGAGACAAGTTGGTCTCTTGGGCAGTTAAGTAATTATACCTAGCTATCCCAGCCAAAACTTTAACCAGACTAATTTAACTCTCATAATTTTCTTAAAGGAGCATTTGGAAAGTTACCCAATGAATTCTGTCAATGGTGATGGAGCCTCTGTTTAAGAGCATATAATTATCTAGAGAAAGTAACTGGTTATAGTGAAATTAGATCAGATTTGCCAAGCACAGGTAGCCTTCAACATATGATCACAACTGAACCCCAAATTTCTGTTATTAAGCAAGACAGTTGTTAAGTGAGATTTGTACCATTTTACAACCTTTCTTGACACAGTTGTTAAGTGAATTACTGCAGTTGTTAAGTTAGTAACATGATTTTTAAGTGAATCTGGCTTCCCCATTGACTTTGCTTGTCAAAAGATTGCAAAAGGTGATCACATGACCCCCGGGGACACTGCAGCCATCATAAATATGAATTTTGATCACGTGACCATGGGGATTCTGCAATCATCGTAAGTGTGAAAAACAGTCACAAATCACCTTTTTCAGTGCTGTTGTAACTTCAAACAGTCACTAAGTGAATGGTTGTACATTGAGGACTCCCTATAGATATGCTCTCTCTGAATTGAAGTATAAATAGTAAATAATATTGGATTACAGCAGAGTTAAAAGTAATATGAAAAAGCCAATATAGGAAGTAGATAACTGGAATAAAGAGTGAGGTGCATATTTGTGTATTGATAAATAACTATGAGGGAAAAAGTATTCCTTTGAGGACAGGAAATAACACATGACTGGAAATGCCTTATGGAATTTGCCTGCTTCTCTGGCTGCCTTCCTATTTCCTCTCTCCTTCTGCAACTATTAATATGCTTCAAAAGACCAGATCAGGCAACTGAAAGCGGATAAAGTGATTAAAGAAGTTAGTGATGGCACAGGGCAGTAGGTAAACAGCTGAGTAGGCCTTTCTAAGTATTTGCACAGCTAGATTAGATAAAAATGCAGAAGAGGATTTCATGTGAAGTTAGAGAAATGATGAAGTCATGATAAACAAGGAACATATGGGAGACCAGAAACAGCTCAGTAAGCCGACTGATAATTTAGACTGTGACTTCAATGTAAAAGAAAGAAGTAAAATTAGAAACACATAAGAGTGTGTGGACATTCGATTTCCACCAAATAGGAAAGAAAAACACTAACATACTTTTTATTTTCAAAGTTCAAAGTTTATTTTCAAAGACCACCTGCAGTGGTCCCTTCTTAGAAGTTGGCTCCTCTTAAAGCAGTGGTTCTCAACCTTTCTAATGCCGCGACCCCATAATACAGTTCCCCATGTTGTGGTGACTCCCAATCACTTATACATCACCGGGTGCCAGGGGCGTGGCCAAAGAAAAGGGGAAAAAAATGGCGGACAGCCTTGTTTGGCGACCCCCGTGAAATGGTCGTTCGACCCCAAATGGGGTCCCGACCCGCAGGTTGAGAACCACTGTCTTAAAGCCCTCTTTGCCTTTCTCTTTGAATCAAGTGAGAGCAGCAGAGTCCTTTGGAGTCTTACCAATGGGCCTGTCCTTAAAAACAGGAGATGGTTTTTCAAAGCAATCTGATCTGTGATTGCCAGAACAAAGTTCTTCAGTCGGCATAAATTCTCATGTTTGTCCTTGTCTGGTTTTTATCTGCATGTATGTTTCAGAAGTGTTACCTGGACCTTGGCTACAAGGCTACCACGGACCAGTTATGGTGTTGACTTAGCCAAGAACATTCTTGCTGTGTGTAGATCATATAAGCTCCTGTTAGCTACTACTATTTCCTTTCCTGCTATTTTAAGCAGTATCATAAAAATCCTTCACAAATGATAACTCTTTTCTTTCTTTTTCTCTGCTCTGTGTCTGAGAGACAAGTCTGGACCAATTTCTCCATCCTGCCTCTGGCAGCAAAATGCAGCTAGCATTTCGGATCCTCTCCCAAATCCCAGCTGCTTCAAAGGAAATACCCTACTTTCTTCTGTTAAGATCATAAGAAATAGAGGAGGAGGGGGTCAGCTCTGTTTGGACATAATTACACTTCATCAAAAGAAGCTTTCTTCATCTTCCATGCGTGAAAAGTCTGCAAGCAGTTAAGTCTGTCTCCCCCCACCTCTCCCTCCCCCTCCCTCTCTCTCTCTCTCTCTCTCATTCATTCATTCATTCTTATTTCTTTTTTAATATAAAAATTGCTATTTGGGAAAGTAGCCAAAACTTGGAAAGCTAATATAGGAAAACTGCATACACTCTTTGTTTTTTGGGGTTTTTTTGAAGTTCTTTGAATAAATACGTTAAACAGTTTGTAAAGTACACCATCACTTTTTCTAGATTTTGCTCATATTGATCTGAGTAAGCTTCTCACTGATGGTGTGTAACTGTGGGGAATAATCATGATGATTCTCTAATTACTCATTTCATTTTCTTTGTGACAGTTAAAGAAGATAAGGCGGGAAGGAGGGAGGGAGAGAGATAGGCAAACCTTTTCCTCCGTTGAATTTTGAAACACACATGTTCCATCATATTTATGTTTGTTTTCAGCAATAATTATATGATGGAACCACTATACATTTTTTTGCAAACCATCACGTTTTATAAGCCAGAGATCTTTCAAGTATAATCAATCAACATAAAGACAAATCAAAATATCAAAATGTTATTAAAGGGGAAGAAAAACTTATAAAAAGTATAAGGCCTTTCCTTCTTATCCAGAAAGACAGTGATCTTTTTTTATTAAGTTGTATTATCTTTGAAGTTGTATTTTATCATTCAGAATTGAAATCAGCCTGGATGCATAAATGTGTACTGATCACATTTTCAGCTAGGGGTTAGAACAGCAATGCCCTGCAATCTGAGTGAAAGAATTAAGATACAGGTTGAAATTCTGATTGTGTACAATCATGCCTTTGTTCCCAGATTTGAATTTGTGTTAATTACACATCCAGAAAGTTCTGAGGTTTCTCTTTTCATGTAACTGTTTTTGTTTTGCTTTGCTTTGCCTCAGCTGAGGAAGTTTGGAGTCTGTGGCTATGTCTTTTAATGCAGGCCAGAACACAAGACTGGACCCAGAGTGCTCTGAGTATTCAAGTGCAAACAGTATGCTGAAGCAGTCTTCCTCATAAGCACAAAGCTACTAGGCCATGCTATCTTTTTGAATGGTGCCCTCAAACTTGTCTATTTTATTTAAATGTGTAGCCAGCCCTTACCTTCTCTTTCCAAAGGAATAAATCAAATGCCAAATCTAGCAAGGTTTTCCTTACTTTGAGCTATGCACTATTCTTGTTTCAGGAAATGTTGTGGAGTAAATTTTAACTTGAGCCAAAATTTTATTTACAACTAATGCAATGTGGTGAGCAAATACTGCTGCCTTTAGAGATTTTGTTTGCTTATTTTGAGTTATCCACTTAACTATTACCTTCATTTCTCATGCAACTAGCAGAATTCCAAATAGAAATGATTATTAGTCTTATTGATATAAAAGCAATATTGGGGTTGCTTTTTGTAAGAGCAATGACTAACTCCTTAAATCTGTGATGTAGTCACTGAAATAGACAGCTATATAAATTTGTTTTATATATTCAGTACAAAAATAAGGTAGGTACTCTACATTTTCCCCTATTCTCACCTATGTGATAGCTGCAAACATTTTTTTTTCCTCTGCCTATCCACCAGTATCTTCAGTCTTGTTTCTGCTTCCTTTTATGCTTCTCTCTGGATTTCCAGCTACAGTAACTGAAAACATGACATGGAGAAGAATTTTGTGTATTTATTTAACCCATTTATATAGCTGGTCAAGTCTAGACATAAAACCTTTATAAATGGGTCCAATTAACATCCCCTTAGTGGTTTTCAGAGACAACCTTTTCTAAGAAAGACCCATAGAAGGCTTGTGATACCTTGTGAAGTTTTCCCTTAAAATGTAATTAAAGACTGAGAAGCCATGGAAGCTGCAAACTGCTTAGGAAGAAGAGTATATTCACACAATCACAGATATGCATCCCTTGGCCTCCTCCTAATTAAATAAATGCAAAAGCATCACACCACTTCTTTGAGAACATTCAACTTCCTAACCTCCCTTGAAAACTGTCTGAATTAAATTCTCTTTCATCAAATTGAATAAAAAAGTTGATAGAGAAAAGCAGGATCACTTCTCTGCTCAGAACCTATTTAGAAAGTAGTTTGAATGGATTCACAGAAAGTCAATTACATCAAAACCAGAGGAAAGTGTTTATAAACAAACCAGCACTCAATACTAAAATTAGGAAATATATGATAATTTTTCTACTAGAACCAGGAAATATTTTTATCATTAAGACTGTGATCCTATGCATGTTTACTTGAAAAGAATTCACTGAATCCACTAAGACTACCTAACTATTCTTTGGATCTGCAAACACATTTAATAGATTCTTTTTCTTTCCTCATCATTTCCATATGCGAAAAATTGCAAAGTGAACTCTGTACCAAAAGGGAAACACCATCATGCTTCCTTACTTTACCCCGTTTGCTGACATCAGAAAGCAATCTTCCCTCAGAATCCAGATTTTTCTTTCTTTCTTTTTTTTTCCTCTTTGTTCCTTCCTTTGTTTCTTTCATATATAATACATACAGAGAGACACACACATACTGTATATATAGTACATATCCATCCATCCATCTATCCATCCATAGGAAAACAATCCTGTAGCAGGTGACCAAGCCTAAAGAATGCTGCAGCCCACATTTAACCTATAAATGAAAGTTTAACAATAGCAGAATAATAGTTAATGGATTCCATTTTAGATCTTGACTGTTCTTTCAGCTGTTGGTTTAACAAATCTATAATGAAATTATTTACCTCTTCCACTTCTGCCAACGAATCTCAGGTCATTAAACCGTGCCACTTGATTCTTCATTACAGCTGAGGCATTCCTCAGCTCTGCAGAATAATTTTCATCGTTTCCAGCCATGACTGTGACCACTGTCCCATCAGGGACTTCTCCTAAAGCCACCACCTATGACAATAAAGACATAACAATAATCTCTCAATTGTTCTGAATTAAATGCTTGGTAGTTAAAGTTATTTGCACCCTTTAATTGTATCAACAGAAGAGGGGAACTTTCAGGCCAATCATGGCCATTATTTTTCAAATGATTATGAACCCACTCCTTGAGGTCTGAGCACATTTGTAACAGGAAGCAGCCATTCAGTGGCCTCCTCCTGGATATCGCACTCTGGTTTCTACTCCACAGCATAAATTACGCACATAGGTTGCCTGCAATAGACATGAATCCAAATGCATGCAACAGTTGGACAAGATGAACTGGTAGGTTAAGACCACTCTATATTTTCACAGGTTTGTTGCTCATGAGGCTTCCATAGTCAAATAGGGCTGATGCAGTGGTTAGAATGCAGTATTGCAGGCTAAGTCTGCCAACTGCCAGCAGTTCGAGTCTCACTGACTGAAGATTGACTCAGCTTTCCATCCTTCCGAGGTCGATAAAATAAGGACCCAGATTGTTGGGGGCAATATGCTGACTCTGTAAACCGCTTAGAGAAGGCTGTAAAGCACTGTGAAGTGGTATATAAGTCTCATTGCTATTGCTATAAATACCAAGTCTTCAATTACTATATTACAGCAATAGGCCACAGCACTGGCAATCATAACACTGGAGGTGATGTCAAATTGATATGAATTTGCCAAATCAGTTTTGCAGCCATCAGAACTCACCTTGATCATGCTTTTTTTAAACAAGCAGTGCAAATGTCTGCCTTTTTTTCAGTGTAAAACTTATTAAAACAGTAGTGTACGCCCTAAAATAAATATATCAAACAACCAGTGAAAAACTGCTTAACTTCCCCAATACCCCTTTCCTCCCACATGTATGATATCATCACACAGTTCCCACAAAATGGTTAAAAGCGGATCTTGGCTTTCCAAGACTGCTAACTCAGCATACCTCCAGAAACCACATGGGATAGAATAGATAAAATGGCGACCTCCCATGCTTTAATTCTAAAGGAAAGAAAATGTTTGCATGACAATATGCTGATTCTTCAGAACCCTACATCTGTGTGTTCCATTATAGTCTTCACATCCAACTTTCACTCATGGAATAAGTCTGTGTTTAATTTTATTTTAAATAACACAAAGCAAAAGAAGAGAAAAAGTTTCTAGTTCTCATTATCATGGGAAAAACATTGAAAAATATGAGAACTATATTAAATGTTTAAGAATCTCAGTTTAGATTGTCAGTTTTGTTTCTGCAATGTAATTTCTCCTTAGGCTATTTATTATTATAAAGGGTTATCTACAGAACCAAACAAAACAGCACCAAATTATTCTAAATGTAGAAAATAATGTTAATTCACATTTAAAATTAAGCATTTTGCATTTTTAGACTATAGAATTACACTTTATGGATTCTGGAATCTGCATTTATCACAATATATTAAACTGTGATCTCACAGAGCTACAAGGTAACACTTTCAATTCTGTAGTTCCAGAAATAAAGTACACAATCATGATGAAAACACTTGTCAAGTTTATTTTGGACTTCTGTTTCAATATTGCAAATAGCTTTGTGAACTAAGAAACCAATACAACCATAGAAATGACAATAAACTAAGTGGACAGATTTTATTTTCAATTTTGCTTTCTGTCTGCATTTTTCATCATTAAATGTATTTCAGAAACACTATGAACAACTTAGAATTCATGATTTTAGCATGAGGCTCCAATGGGTGTAAACAGATTCAAGGTTAAGCATCTAGGAATCAATTCAGCTGATGATAAAAGAATAAATCAGTCATAGATACATAAATAACCTCCTGCTGAAATTGGCGGGACTATGAAGTGTTCCACATTATTGGACTTCTACCTTTTTCATCATCTGGCATAAAAAGCTTCCACCCAATGGGAGCAAGGAACCCAAATAACTGTAACCTCTGTAAAGGAGGAATTAAATCACCCCTGCTTGATTCCATGCATCCAGGTACACTTTAAGCCAGGGAGGGCACACAAGGTGAGTTTCTATTTTATTAGAAGAAATTGTGCAGTTAAAAAAAGATTTGATTTTGTGAAGAAGAAGGGAGCTTACACTCTCGTATGGAAGAAAGAAAACTTTGTAGTTATCTTGCCTTGTGAAAGACAAGCATTATAGGTGCTACAATTTTAATTTATGAGAGGGGCACCCTTATACATTCTGCTGCTTCAATTATTTCAAAAAAGGAAATTTAGCTGCAGAGTAGTGAGAAAAAATAATTATGTACATACTTAGCAGCATTACTATTTCTGTAAATGCTATCTGATCTCACTTTATCATTGAATGTCAATACTCTTCAGCTGCAAAATGGAACCAGTATTTTATAATGTAAAGTGCACATAGGTTACGTATTTGTATCTGTGGCATCTCCTCTTTCTTCAGTCGAATGTGGGAAGGCCCAGAGTGGAGCCCAGAGATACATTTTCTGCACCAGTTATTATAATGGAAAGTGAACCAGTTAAACTTCTCCCTTTCCTAATTTCTCAAACTATCCCCAGAGCTATTTTGTAATTCTGGACTATAACAATGCAAATATTATTTACGACATATACAACTGAAAAGAATGAATTGTTGCTAATAGCATTCTACATTTAGATCCAGCCTGGTGTAGTGGTGAAGACATCAGATTAGAAATCAGGAGGCTATGAGTAAAGTAAAGTAAAAGTAAAGTAAAAGTAAAAATAAAGTAAAAGTAAAGTAAAGAGTAAAGTAAAGTAAAGTAAAGTTTAGATCCAACATGCAAACTTGGCACCCAACTTAGATTTAATGCTAAAAATGAATCAAGCTATAAAATATAAAATCCTGGGTTGTATAAACAGAGGCACAGAATCAAGATCACATGAGGTATTAGTACCCCTTTATAAAACCCTAGTAAATACTGCAGCCAATTTTGGTCACCATATCACAAAAAAGATGTTGAGACCTTGGAAAAAGTTCAGAGAAGAGCAACTAAGATGATCAAAGGCCTGGAGTCTAAAACGTATGAAGAATGGCTGCAGGACTTGGGTTTGGCTAGTCTAAAGAAAAGAAAAAATAGGGGAGACACGATAGCAGTATTCCAGTATCTGAGGGGCTGCCACAAGGAAGAGGAAATTATACACCAAAGAACCAGAGGGCAGTACAAGAAACAACAGATGGAAACTAATCAATTTGTAATTAAGGAGAAACTTCCTGACAGTGAGGACAATTAACTAGTAGAACAACTTGCCTCCAGAAATCGTGGGCATCACTAGAGATGTTTAAGAAGAGGCTAGACAGTCACTTGTCTGAGATGGTATAGGTCAGTGATAGCAACCCTTTTAGAGACTGAGTGCCCAAAAAATGCCCCGTCCTCACCACCCACCACCTCCACGGCCCGCCGCAGATCGCCCAGGCAGCCCAGCAGCACCATGGCAGCCACTCCCTCTGCCCGTGCCCTGCAGCATCATCTGCATGCAACAGGGCGCAAGGGAAGAGTCTTGACTCTGCTGTCCGGCTGCTATGTGCTTGGCTGCACTGCTCCACATGGGCCACGCCTGGGGGCAACTTTCCTCTGGATGAGGGGGTGGGGAGAGATGGGGCTGTGGCGACAGGTGTGCCCACAGAGAGGGCTCTGAGTGCCGCCTCTGGCACGCATGCCATAGGTTCACAACCACTGGTATAGGTCCTCCTGCTTGAGCAGGGGGCTGGACTAGAATACCTCCAAGGTCCCTTCCAGCTCTATTCTATTCTAATATAGCTCACCTGAAAGTGTATCATGGGCTTTCACAACTAGCCCCAATGATGATATACCATCTTGAAAAATATAGTTATTTTATTTTATCCAGAAACCCAAAATGATTTACTATATGTATTTTGGAAAGATCTGCCCCTTAGCCTATTATATGGAATATGTTCACACATACCACCACTACAGTTAACTCCTATTGTAGGCAGATATGAGAAGGAGGAGCTGACCAACAATATGGAAACAGAACAGCAGCCACAAAAAATGAGGCAAACATAAAAGATACAGTCCTGTTACATGCATACACAGTGATGGCAGTTCATGTCTCCAACCCTGGATTTGGGGAGGAAAGACTTTGGGAAGGAAAACTTTCTCTATTAGGCATTTTAAAAACATGGGTAGAAGCCTGAAGCAAGAAAGTCCAGCAAGAAGAAGTGATGTACTGTAAACTCTTCATGGAAAAAACCTCCACAAGATGATAATTATCCACAATCTCAGGGTGTTCTGACTGTCTCAAATCCCATTGTTTAAATCCCCCCCCCCAGTCTTTATAGAAGAAATGAACTTTTTGAAAATAAAGCGACTTAAGGCCATCTCAACAAGATACATAATTGGTTCTGTTCCATGTACCTGACACCCAATAATTTAACAGAGCTACTTCATAAAAGTAATTTATTTAAATAAGATTTTTAGGGCACACATAATGAGTGCTTCTACAGTTATCTAGAATTTACATGATGTATACTCTCCTTCATGTTGTAAAATGTACTAGGGTGTAAATTAATCCATTTAGTGATCCAATGTGTACTGCTGTTTTTAAGAAATACAGCATGCCCAAAACATCACAAGACCACACTTCCAACTGAGCCCCAAGAATTGTTCTTAGTCTCTTGCATATATTTTTTCTATCTACATAATTTCCAAAGTTATCATGTTTTGAGAGCTTGCATTTTCCACACTAGAAATTAAAGGAATTTTATATTATAGTTTAAAACAGTGATAACAGTTTAACAGTCTGCTAAAACCCTGCAGAATTATATTTTTATCAGCTATTTTAACTTTTGCCATTTTCAGTTCAATGATCAAGGTGAGAACTAAAAACTGAACTGTTTCAATGTTAGCCTTCAATAGTCTATATCAGGGGTAGGCAACCTCGGCTCTTTTATGACTTGTGGACTTCAACTCCTAGAATTCCTGAGTCAGCAGCTGACTCAGGAATTCTGGGAGTTGAAGTCCACAAGTCATAAAAGAGCTGAGGTTGCC